GCATAGATGCACTCTGTGGGCTCTGAAAGCAAATGGTATTTAACCCCGTAGCTTGGCGGGCGAACTGGGAAACACGGCCTCCTCTCACCCAGCGCACTTCCACGGGGGCGGTGAGAGCCCGGACAGCCCTCTCCCCGGGTGACCCTGGGCCAGTTCCCGGGGGCCCGCGCCTGGCGGGGGGCACGCCAGCACTGAGGCTGCAGGGCTGTGGGGGGGGGGGAGTCTGTGGGGGAGTGTCGAAAGCAGGAAGCGCCACGCCTGGCACGGAACCCAGGCTCTGAGGGCACCAGGGGAGCTCAGGGCTCTGGGGCGCGGCACTGGGGTCTCCACAGTCCCTGCGGGGAGCTTTGCTGTCCTGTGACCAGGTGAGGGACGCGTTTCGTCATGTGGGGCGCAAAAGGGGCTGCGGAGGCCTCCGCTCAGAGGCCTATCTGGAAAGGGCCGTAGAAATCACTTCCAGCAGCAGCTCACCCGACAGAAGGGGAGACTGAGGCCCCAATGAGGTGACTATGTGCACGGCGGGGGGGGGGGGGGGGGGGGACGGAGCTGGGACAGGGCGCACTGGGGGCACAAGAGGCCCTGCACACGGAGGGTGGGTGCTCTGGAGACTCCACTCGCACACTCAGGGGCTCGGAAACAGCCCTCTGGAGGCCTGGGCTCGGCCACCCAGACAGTAAGCAGCCCTTCGGAACACTCGGATCCCTCGGACCCCGAGCCCCACACAACCTGCCACCTTAGCTTGATCCCAGGCCTGAATCTAAGACGTCAGCACCTGAGACATTCTTCCCAAAGGAGCCAGGCCAGGCTCACGCGTGCCCCCAGCACAAAGGGCCTTCCCCGCGAGAGCAGCAGGAGCAGAGGGAGCAGCGGGAGGAGCAGGAGCAGTGGGAGTAGAGGGAGTAGCGGGAGTAGAGGGAGCAGAGGGAGCAGCGGGAGCAGAGGGAGCAGCAGGAGCAGCGGGAACAGAGGGAGCAGTGGGAGCAGCGGGAACAGAGGGAGCAGCGGGAGTAGAGGGAGCAGCGGGAGCAGCAGGAGCAGAGGGAGCAGCGGGAGCAGCAGGAGCAGCGGGAGCAGAGGGAGCAGTGGGATCAGAGGGAGCAGAGGGAGCAGCAGGAGCAGCAGGAGCAGAGGGAACAGCAGGAGCAGCAGGAGCAGAGGGAGCAGCAGGAGCTGTCCGGCATCAGGCTCTCTGGCTCCCAGTCGCCTGTGGCGTGAGGAGCATCCTCAGGCCCCGCAGAACCAGCCTTCCCTGAGGGTTCCAGCTACAGTCACATGGCCCGGGGACCCTGATCACTGCCCAGGCCTCTGCCCAAGCCCTTCATTCAAGGCATCGGGATTCCTCTTCTCTCTCCCCATGTCCAACCCGGGGCCTGAGAGCAACTTGACTGCAGGAACTTACTGGCCTAAACTATGCCATCCATTCTAGTAGCTGTCGTTGTTAATACGCAGTGCCTTAACATCGCTGGAAGGGGTGCCCTGGATTGCTGGGAGAGACTGAGGGAGATAGACAGGGGAGCATCACTGTGAGAAAGAAGCATCAATAGGCTGCCTCCCCCAGGCTCCTGGACCCAGGATCAAAGGCGAAACCTGGGTGTGCTCTGACCAGGAACTGAACCTGCCACCTTCTGGTGCATGAGACAATACTCCCGCCACTAAGTCACACAGCCCAGGACCCCTCCTCTCGGTCGCCTCCTTCTCCTTCCCCTCACCACCTCTCCCCTCCCCCTCCTCCTCCTCCTTCTCTTCCCTCTCCCCCCGCTACTCTTCCTCCTCCCTCTCCTCTCCTTTCCCCTCCTTCTCCTCCTCCTCCTCTTCCCCCCTCCTCCTCTCTTTCTCTTCCTCTCTTCCTCCTCCTTCTCCTCCTCCTTCTCTTCTTCCTCAGCTCCCAGGAGCTGCTGCTTTAAAAACAGGAGCTGCAGAACCATGGCCCAGAGCCAGGTGCTTAAAGTGCATTATCTCTGGACGAATGGCAGCCGGAGTCAGAGCTGAGCTCTCCAGGGCCTTCCACTCCTCCCGCCTGTCTCTCCGCTGGGCGGCCTCTGACACGGCCTCTGCACTGCTGGGCTCCCACACGGGGCTCCTACCCCAAAAGCACGTCCTGCGAGGACCAAAGATGAAAGACTCACAGTCCCCGGGTTGCGGTCCCCACCCCGCAGGAAAGGTCTGGGTGGGGAAAAGGATGTGCCTGCGGCTCAGGGCGAGCCGAGTTCACTTTAAATCCCGTTCTTAACACAGGACTGGAGGGACGGCCACGGGCCGAACTTCAAGGGACCGCAGGGGACCTGAGGCAACCTCCCCCGAGGCAGCCTGAGAGGACGGCCCCGCCTTCTGGGCACAGTGGCTGTGAGGGAGCGTCCCCACGTGGGACAGCTCAGGTCTCCACCACCTGCCTCAGAGGTCATCCCCGGCCGGCTGCCATTCGTCCAGGACTTTGTTTGAGCCCATCACGTACACCGACACATCTTCCAGTATCTTCCTAGCTTTGCTTTCGTTCTCCCTCATGAGGATGTAAGCCAGGCCCCTTCCCATGTCCAAGCCCTCAGTGGCTGCAGGGGAGGGGGGAATAGGGGCTTGATCTGAGCCCCAAACCCATGCCCTCTGTCTACAAGGACTGTAGAGGGTAACGCCCACTGTGCCCACCACAGTGCCCATGTGCTCAGCATAGAATTCCCCAGTGTGCAACTTGTTGCAGGTGCTCAATTAACACTGAATGAATGAACGAATGAATGAGTGAATCTCTAGAGACGCCATACCCCTTGGTGTGGTTAACAAAACAGAGGCCTACTCCAGCCACTCAGGTCCCCTGGGCAGGCCACTGGAGACCACCCCTGAGGACACTTCGGAACTCACACCTGCATGGTGACAGATTCGCAGGAAGGCACGGCAGCAGGAGTGGGGAAGTCCCGTGAGCCTCCAGCCTGCTGGGACAGAATGCGGGGCCTGAGGTCCCACAGCGCCGGGTCCTGTCCTGTCCTGTCCTCCCATCTGGGTCCTCCTGGCAGCGGTGTCTGCCCAGGCCCAGCACCTGGGAGACGGCAGCTCCAGGACAGCCTGCCTGGTGGGAGGGTGCAGCAGATGGCACGCTGCCCAGTGCCCGTCAGGGGTGAGGCACGACCTCCCCTTGGAGAGTCAGACAGGAGAGGGCCTTAGAGATCGCTGACGATTAATCATCCCTGTTCCTGTTTATCGACAAGGAAACTGAGGCTCAAAGGGGTGAAGAAATGGGTCTAAGAGGACACGGCCGGCAGCGGGCAAGCCAGGACTTTGAAGTCAGAGCTGCTGGGTGCTCTTAACCACAATCTCCCACCTCAGTCTCCCAATCAGGGCAACGGGGAGGTTGGACCCGATGGCCTTTAACGTGGCTTAGATCTGAGGTGATTTCAGGGGAAACCAAAAGCTCTTCTTCCCTGGGCATCTTCACCCCCACTCTCCCTTCGCTCCTCCCCTCCCAGCGTTGGCCTCCTCCCCAGCCCAGGACAGGGCTCCAATCTAGAAACAGGGAAGGGAGGGGCTGTGAGGGGAGGAACGGGGGTGGAAGCAGGGGAACAGGAGCAGAGATGGAGAAAAGATGCCTGCCCACGTTGCCCCTCCCGCCCTCCAGCCTGGCGAGTGCCAGGGGAGGTTCGCAGACAGTTTACAAACCGCCTCTGTCCCAGGGCGCTGCACGGAGCCATCCATCACGCCCTTCACGCACCCGCGTCCCTCTCCTGGGGGAGGCCGCCCTGGGAGCAGCCTCGCCACCGGCACTTCCTCTCTCACCCACTTGATGAAGATTTCCTCTAATTGGTCCGTGTTAATCACTCCCAGGAATGCAATGTGCAATTACCACAGCTGCAAGGCTGGCCGAGAGGAGGACATGCCGTGGCTCTCCCGTGTAGGCAGTTGGGTCCATGGGGGGCCCCTAGCTTGGGGCCCAGGGCCCTCTGGGAAACCCGGAGGACCCCCCAGGGAGGACATGCTGGGAAGGGGGAGGGGAAGGATGGTCAGGGGGAGGGGGAGGGCAGGCCAGAAAGGAAGGAACCATGGAGGGTGCCAGTTACAGCTCCCCACCCTCCTCAAGGATGCAGACTCTCTCTCTAGCCTCGCGGGAACAGAGTCGGGAGGGTTTCCATAAACCTCGCTTGGCACGGCCTGGCTCTGGCCCCCAACTGGAAATGCTGGGAGCACGGGCCATCTGGGAACCACAGTTATGCCCAACACCTTTCCTCCAGCACAAGTTTCTCCAAACACCAGGCTTTGTACAGGCTGTTCCCTTCGCCTCATCCGCATGGTGGCCTCCTGGCTGTCCTGCTGGTCCCAGCTCAAACACACTGACACCCAGCTGCCCTTTCAACCTCCCGTGGGCAGGAGAGGTACCTGTCCCTCCTCGGCCTGGCCTTCCACAGCCGCCAGCACAGGCCTCACCGCACGGCCCTGCCCTGCCCGGCCGGAGGGTCTAACCATCCTGGGAGATGCGTAGGGACTGGAACCATCTGTTTATCATCGTTATGGTCCTGCCCAGCATACTCCAACTGGGGCTCAGCAAATCCCTCCCGAGTGAGTGAGTGAGAGAGGGAATGAGTATTATCTCCCTTCATGCACAGCCTCAGATAACCCCCGGGCCAAGTCCATTTCCCAAAACATGCCCACGGGTTCTCGGGACTCTCTTCTGCTCAGGGGATCCCATCCTGATGCAGCTTCCATGTGGGGAACCAGCACCGGAGCGCAGAGGCTGAAAAGGGCTTCAGAGACACATCGCCCTCGTTTCGGGGATAAGCAGACGCAGGCCCAGAGGCCGGGGTGGCTGTCCAAGGTCCCCAGCAGCCCATCACCAGGGGCGGGGCCACGTGCTAATCCCAGGGCCGTGAGGAGCTCTGGAGCTGGGGCGGCCCCCGCAGAGCCCCCAGAGGCGGCTCTCGCCGGCCCTTTGGGAGCCTGGATGTGCGCGGACACCCCAAGCTCCTGTCCCCCCACCCTTAGCCTCTCCCAGAGGCGGCTGGCTGCCGAGCCGTGGCACGTACCTTGCGCTTCTTGGCACGCCCCTCGGCCTGCAGGGTGCGGGTGCAGCGCTGCACACACTCGGAGAAGCTGAGATTGCTGCGGTCGGCGCTGTAGTCGAGGTCGGCCAGCCGGGCCAGGGACAGGATGTAGTTGCAGGCGATCCTCAGGATGGCCAGCTTGGAGAGCTTCTGCCCGTACGAGTAACACGGCACCTGGTGGGCGAGAAGGCGTCAGGGGGAGCCGCCGGGGCCCCTGCAGAGCATGACCCCGTGGGGCAGCTGGCCAGGCAGGCCTGGGGCTGCTCACAGCAACATCGGCACCGCCTGCGAGGGATGGCTGGACGGCGGCGGCGCCGCCTCAGCCCTGACCCGGGTTTCAGGCCCCGTTCTGAGCACCCGCACACACGTCTCCGCTCATCCACTCACAGGCTCGGGGAAGTGTGCACACGAAACGAAGGCTCCGCTCATGCCCGAGAGCCGGTCTGAATGAAGCGCACAGTGTGTTCCCGCCACGACGGAGCTCTGTCCCAACCTCCCCGAGAGGGATCTCTCCGAGAGGACAGACATTTCTGATCAGCTCTGATATTCCTCCCATCCATCCATCCATCCATTCATTCATTCATTCATTCCGTGGGGCTGGCTTTGCTTGGCGCTTGAGGTTCTGACAATGAAGAATGTGATTCCTACCTCCAAAACAGAGTGAGGGACTCCGGGAACGTCCGAGAAGGAAACGTGGCAGACAGGGCTCAGCGGGGGAGGGCACACACACGGTGGGCTTCCTTTGCCTTTTCTCCTTTTCTCTGTGCCCGCCGAACCCGAGACGCCGCTGGCCATGCAACACGCACATAGTAAACACCTACAGCCCCAACCAGACTTGGCACATGTGCCAGTGACTCAGCACCAACCAGACACTCGCCAATGGCAGCGGGCTGTGTGCCAGGGCAAGGGATGGAGCCTCTAATTTTTTGACACTGTCACCAGCAGTTGGGCTGCAGGAGCAGACACCTCGGAGGCCTGCAGCAGGGCCTGTGCTGTAATGTGGGAAGGTCACCACGAGTCGCCAGGCGGGGGGCATCATCAGAGCCAGGGGACATCCTTCACCTGGGCGGCCCCCGAGCTGGCCCAGCCACCAAGGCTCCGGGTTTCCTCCCCTCTCTGGGCTCCAGGATCTGTACGAAGCACATCTATCCGCCCCTGGTATCTGGTCCCGATACCCTCAACCCACAGAGAGGGGCCCCCAAGGCACATCCATTCAACAAGTATTTAGTGAGCACACACACACACCCACGCCAGCTCCTGCTCTGGGTCAGTGGACCTCTGCCAGGGACAGCTGTGTCCCTCGGGGGACAGTGAGCAATGCCTGCAGACATTCTTGATTGTCACTACAGGGGAGCAGGGGGGCGTTGCTACAGGCCTGTCGTGGGTACAGGCTAATCATCTTGCCGTGCACAGGATCCTACGTTGCCCCCATAGCAAGGAACTACCAGGCCCAAATGTCAGCAGTGCTGACGTGAGAGACCCTGTTCTAGGCCCTGGGGATAAAGCATCAACAAGATGGGCACCTCAGAGGGGGACCCTGAATGTTACATCCACTCTTTTCTCTGACTGCACGCCTCCCCCCAACCATGAGGCTGAAGGTAAGGTGGAGAGGGGGTGCACCTGCCCTTGATAGTGCTCTAATAGCACCCCTTCTGTCCTTCACTCCCCCACTTCCCCTCATTTAATGATCAGGCCCCTGTCTGCAGAGCCCCAGCCCAGGTCCTGCCCGTCACAGGCACCTGAAGGGGTCTGTTGAATGAGAAAATGAATAAGCTGCCTCCATATTCACCAGGTGTCTCCAGGATGTATAGAGCTGGGGTCCCAAACCTTCCCTCATGCTGGCGATGAGGACTTAGCTGTCAGGCCTAGAGCTTATGCCACAGACCTCTACTTCAACTCCTGGCTCTAGCTCTTCCTTGCTAGGGGGCCCTGGGCGAGTGGCAGAATCTCTCTGAGCTTTGGCGTCCTCGCCACCTTGCTAGCAGGACTGGCCTCACAGCCTGGTGGGAGTCCATGCGATGGCACAGGCACTGCTCAGAGGAGGGCGGGATATAGCTCAGCGGAACAGCACGATCCAAAGACAGGCTCCAGAGGGGCGAGAGGCAGGAGGCCTGCAACCAGGACACAGCACCCGCTTGTCCCCCACCCCCTGGGGGTCCTGAGACGCCCCCACACCAGAAGCAAGGCTCACTGTCACCTTTAAAAAGGCTCCAGCAGCCGAGGAGTCGCCCCTCACCAGACTAGGAAACCCGGGGAGGGACAGGGAGCGCGCCAACTCCCATGCATTTCCCCTTCCGACCTCCCACTCCCAGCCCGGCCGCGCTCCAAACCCATCCAAGAAAAGCCGACAGAACAATGCACTTTGCCTGTTCCCGACCAGAGGCCAGAGAATCCTGCTTTATCAACACGAACAAATAAACAGGTCGGTGGGACAGGCCTGCGAGGCCCGAGACAGGGCAGGCACCCCGGGGAGGGCGTGCCCGCCCCGAGGCCCTGGACACGGGTCTGTGACACAGGCCCGCGCGCTGTGCCCACCTGAGGCCGCGCTGCGAGTGATTCAGCTCGGTGAGCCCTTGGCCCTTGGACAGCTGGCCGCCCTGCCAGTTGGGAGCAGGGATCTCGGGAGGGCTCTGCACACGGGATCCAGGGCGACTGCGCGAATACAGGGCAGCAGATAAGGTCAAGGCCGGCCTAGGGGCGGCTGTGCCAGGTTCGGGGCCAGGCCTGTCTCAGATGTGCCACTCTGTCCCACTGCTTCTGCCAAAGTCCACGGCCAACAGGAAAAGTACCTGTTGAGCTCTGGTGGTGTGGCTGGCACTGAGGGAGCTATTGATAAGGGGTTTTATCCTACTTAAAATCTTCCTCCCAGCCCGAGCTGGTCTGGCTCCGTGAATAGAGCGTTGGCCCGTGGACTGAAGGGTTGCAGGTTCGATTCCAGTTGAGGGCACATACCTCAGGTGCAGGCTCCATCCCCAGTACATGCAGGAGACAACCAATCAATGTGCCAATGTTTCTCTCTCTTGGTCTCCCCTCACCCTCTCTAAAACTCAATGGAAACATATCCTCAGGTGAGGATTAACAAAAACAAAACTTTAAAAATAAATAAACAAATAATGCCCCCCCCCAAAAAAAAATATATTATCCCATCTGCACTGAAGGAAGCAGAGGGGTGACATATTGGGCCCAGGTCACACGGCTAAGACCTGGTTGAAACCACACGCTTGTCTGGTGCCCAAGGAAGGCACATGGCCACCAGGTTCTCCGGGCTCCCTCACCAGAGGCAACTTCTGGCCACATCCCTCCCCCTCATCCCCCTGCCCGAGGGGGAACGAGGGGAAGGACGTGCTCCTCAACAGACCTGGCTAATTCCAGATCCTCTGGTGCCTGATCTGCAGGATGAAGCACCTGGGCCCTGACAGCCCAGCTCGGAGGCACCCCAGCCCCGGCAGCGACTGCAGAGTGAGAGCCAATGGCAGGGTCTAGTTCTGGGAGGCCAAGGTCGTGAGGAAGAGCTGGTCTGACTACTGGGCACTTACCAGCAGTGTGACTCGGAGCCAGTGCCTCCGTTTCCTCATCTGTAGAGGGGGGCTGGCAACTTCTGCCTACTCTCCATGGCCCCTTGGACCAGGCCACCCCTTGCTGTTTATGGTGTTCTCCTAAGGCGGGCAGAGAGCTGAGGATGCTGACACAATGCCCACGTCCATGCCAAAACAGCCCCGACGGATAGAAAGCATCACCTCCGCTTTACAGGAACACTGGGTAGTGGAGGACCCTTAGCGGTGGGAGATTTTTTGGGTTTGAACTCCCACCTTAGCTGGGCTTTTCCCAATGAGCCAGAAGGACCTGCTTGGAGGTTTGGACGGGCATCTACAGCATAAGGTGGGGAGGTGGGGAGGTCACCCTTCCAAGCTGCAGGCGGAGAGTGCTGGGCTGATCCCATGGGACCCCAGCCTTTGAGCATCCACAGTGAGTCCCAATGCCCAGCTACCCGCTGCCTGCAGAGAGCCCCAGGGCAGTGTCTGCCCATTCTGGCCGGGGGACACAGGACAGAGGAGGCAGCAGGGTGGCTTGGCTCCAACTCCCGAGACTGCCCAACTTCCGGGAAAGTAACGGGACTGCCTTGTGCTTACTCCACAATAACTTTTCAGCTTCAGGGGAGCAGATTTGGGAAATTTCATGAGGTCCCATATGCCCTCAGAACATTCCACCTGCCCTCCCCAAGCTGGAGCCTCTCCAGGCTCCAGGAAACAGAGAAAGTGAAAAGGGCACTGGCCTGGGCGCCTGAGCACCTGGCTCTGCCCCTGGCCGTCCACGTGACCTTAGGCAGGTCCAGAACCTCACCGATAAAAGGGCACCGGAATACCTGAGACCTCAGAATGGAACCTCTGTGGGCAAAGGCGGGAGGTGCCACGGAGAAGTCAAGCCAAGAACCTACCCAATTCAGGAGGGGCCTGGAAGCCCGCTGGCCTCTGTGCCAGCTCCCGCCCACCCTTCCCCCAGCCCAAGACCCCCTCCTGGAAGCCCACCACGACTCCCGGCCCTACCGAGCTCCAACATCGCGCCCAGGACACAGCTTAGCGGCTCATTTCATTTGGAACCGCTGTGTCAGTTGAGTGCAGACTTCCTGACACAAAACCCCTCTATACAGAGCGAGGTCCCTGTCAAGTTCGTCTGAAAAGGGTCCTTTAAATCCCAACTTCCTGCACAGCAACGAGGCTAGACCCTGAGCATGTGAGTCTTAGAAATTAAGTCATGGCCCCAGGGCCAGATAGGCCCAGGCACAAATCCCGCCCTTGCTTGACCTCTCTGTCAGTGTCCTGTCTGCAGCGGGGAAGGTAGCACCGCCAATGCCCAACCCCAACCACAGGCCCAATGCAATGAGGCTCCGAAGCTGCCGCCCTGGTGACTGTGGACATGGCTGGAGGGGTCTGACGCTGAGGGGTACAGGGGTGGGGGCACCATCCCCACAGCCCATCCTGGGCCACCCTGAGCCCCCTTGGTGAGGACCTCCGGGGAGATTCTAGGGGCAGCAGAGGAGGGGGCCCAGGCCCCAGCTATGTGGCACCTCCTTCACGAAGAGGCACCTCAGCAAGTCCTGAGGCTGGTCACTGATGCCTCAGGCCTCTGCCTGCCATTCCTCCACCAAGGCTGAGGGGCTACCTCCTTTCGGGGGGCACAAGCAATCTGCACACGTGCCAGGTGCCCCAAGGGTAAGCACCGTCTGTGAGCCAGAAGGTTCTGCCCCGCCCCTCACCCACCCCGCAGGGCCAAGCTTCCCCTTGGAGCCCCTCCCACCTGGCCCTGGAGCAGCCCTGCACATGGGCCAGGCCCAGCTGTGCACACATGGCCTTCACATGAGGCGTGGGGAGGGCCCTCCTATGCAGCTGGGCCGGTGGCATGTGCGGAGGCCTGACCATCTGCCCCACACACCCACCATCTTGGCCTCGCTGTCACGCACCCCCCAGACCCAAGGGCCCGGCCCCCATCCATCTGCACCGTGATGGCTGAGCAACCAGTCCCCGTGCCCCCTCCCTGGTGGAGTGAGATGGAGAGAAAACAGGATGGCTTCCTTGTGCCGAGGGCGGACAGCTCTCGGGCATTCAACAGACTGAGGCGCAGAGCTGTCAAGAGCCTGGGCACCGGGGTGACTCGCTGACGCCGATTCAAAGTCAGGCTCCGCAATGACAGTGGCACACACTATGCGGGCTGCGGCCCCACCGTGCCACGGGGGCACCCACACGCTGGAGTGGCATGCCAAGGAGGTTTGCCCTGCAAAACCCGTGAGGCTCCCATGAGCTCTCGGAACCACCGTCTCGCCACCTCCAAAACGGTTTCTTCCCTCTGAAAGAGGAGGCCAGCGGGAGAGAAAGGGCCCTGGACTGGCCGTCAGAGGACCTAAGTGCCAGCCCTGCCCGTGCCCTGCTACCCACCAGCTGTGCTGCTCTGGGCATGCGGCCTCCCCAATCTGGGAAGCAAGGTGAGCAGATGGGCATCCTTCTGTTGTCCTTCTGTCCTGAGAGGTGGGAGTCATTCAGTGGCAGGCTACTGACTGACGGCAAGATGGAATGGTCACTGGGCCATTCCCACCTGGCATGGGGCCCAGGGTCCCACCTGGCATGTGGCTCAGCCTGGTGTGGGTCAATGACCCTTCCACCCCAATTCACTGAGCAAACATCTTACCCAAATCCATGCAATAGTCATGGGGCTTCCTCCCACTCCAGCAGGTCAATTCCCTTCCCATGATGGACACGGGCACCACTGCCCACCCCACCCACAGAAGGAAAAGCAGAGTGCAGGCCAAAAAGAATATCATGTTTTCTGAACCGTTTTGTTGCTGGCGAAAGCCCAGAGAGGTTGAGTAACTTCCCTGGAATCACACAGGAAGTCAGCTGCTGAGCAAGGAAAAAAAAAAAAATCTGGCTACTCAAACCATCCACCCCTGCCCTTCCCCATTCCCCATTCCCTCCCTGAGCAGGTGGGAGCAGGGGGGTACCAACCACCTCTTCTTAGATTTCCTTTCTCTCTAAGAAGATGAGAAGCCTAGAACCAGAGGGTAATCTTGTCTAAAAAGTGGAATTGTAAAACTGCCCTTCCCCCACCCATCCAACGCAAAAGACATTGTGGGGTGAGAGCGACCCCCACCAGCCACGAACTGAGAAGTCCCTGACCTACCCAGACTTAGGCTCAGAAGGTCCCCAGCGAACCGGTCCCTCAGCAGAGCTGCCTCCTTCACCGGTGGAGGGGATCCCCTGGGAAGGCTCTCCCCAGCCAATTCTTGAGGCCGCCCTGGGGGGAGGGACCAGGCTTGTAGCCCGCGGCATTAAGGACACCGGGGCAAGGGGTGCAGAGCACAAAAGCAACCTGAGTGTAGGGGCACCCCTCCTGGGAGGTAGGGGCTGAAGAGGGAATGAGGGACCCTTCCACTCTGGCAATTCTAGGACTTCTCTTCCCACCCACCCACCGGGCAATCTTTCCCGACCCAATCAACAGCCTGCAGAGGTCTTCTCCCCTTCCTCCGGGAGACAGATTCCCACATTCCCCCTGTCCACTCCCCGCCGCTCCCAAGGAACCAGGAGACACACACTCGCTGTCATAAAAGTTAACTGCGAGCGCTGAAGTCTGAGCGCAGGCAGGTCACCCCGCGGGGAGGGGCGGGCGGAGCGGGGACGACCAGAGCCTGCCTCAGGGGGACCTTCACCCCCCATTTTGCAAACTGAGAAACGTCCCAACGCTGTAGCAAAGGTCCCTACTCCAGGAGGACCCGAACCTGTCCGGGTCCTGGGGCCCACCGCGCGGGGCCAACTTGCCCCTCGCAAACACCCCTACCCCTCCATCAGTCCCCCGGGCACTCACCCACCCACCCACCCGCTCGGGCACCCTGCCCCGGGCGCGGGGAGGCTGTGCGGCTGCGGGCCGGTACCTGCTTCCGCAGCGCCTCGAAGGCGGCGCTGATGGTGTGCACCCGCGTCCGCTCGCGGGCGTTCGCCAGGAGCCGCCGGGTCTGCTGCAGGGCTTTGATCTCCGAGGCGGCGGCCGTGGCTTCGCCGGGCCGTTTCCTAGGCGACGCGGAGGCATCCGGGTGGTGATTGTAAATGACGTGTGAGATTGACGAGTAGGAACTTTCCCCGGGGCGCGCGGGGGGCGCGGGGCGCGCGGAGGTCTCCGGGGGCGCGGGGGGCGCAGGAGGCAGGGGGCGGGCGGGCGGTGCGCACAGCAGGATGCGGGGCCGCAGGCCAGGCTCCCGGAAAGGCTGCACCTCGGGACCCCCAGGTACCTGGCCCTGGGGTGCTGGCGGCGGCGGCGTGGGGAGCCCCGGACCCACAGCGCCCAGGGAGAAGCCGCGTCTCCGCGCCTCCAGGACCTCCGGCGCCCGGGCGCCCCCGCGCTCCCCCGCCGCGTCCGGGCCTCCCCCGGAGGGAACGGCCGGCGCCACCGGGGCGGGCACCGGGGTCGGGACGGGCTGCAGCCGCGGGGTCCTGTCCCGCAGCCCGTGGGCGGCCGCGGCGCCCAGCTCGGGCACCTCCAAGTCCAGTCGGAAAGTTTTATAGCCGTTCGCGCGCCGCGCCGGCTCCTTGCCTTTGCGCTTGAGCTTCTTGAGGCCGTTCAGCTCCTTCACGCACACGGTCTTCCACGGCCCGTCCTCGAGGACCGGGAGGTGCTTCATGGCGCGGGCGGCGCGCGGGGCGAAGGCGCGGGGCTGCCCGGGGCGCGCCCGCCGCGCTCCTCTGCACGCGGCTCTGCCCGCTCTGCCGGCGGCCAGCGCTCCCGGCGCCGCGGAGGCTCGCGCTCTCCCTGCTCCCCCCTCCTCCCGCTCTCTCTCTCTCTCTCTCTCTCTCTCTCTCTCTCTCTCTCTCTCTCTCTCTCTCTCTCTCTCTCTCTCTCCTCTCTCTCGCTCCTCTCTCTCTCCTCTCCCCGCTCCCCCGCGCGCGGGGCAGCTGCGCCGCCGGCTCCGCGAAGCTGCGGGGCAGCCCGCTCCCGGGCGCTCAGAGCGTCCTCTGCAGCCGCGGCCGCGGGGCCAGCGTTTCTGGAGCGCGCCCGCCGCGCCCCATCTGTGTTTGTTTAGCCTCAGTTTACACAGAAGCCCGGTCCGCCAGATCAGTCAGCGCCGCCGCCCGGGGAGCAGGCAGCTCCCGCCGCCGCCGCCGCCGCCGCCGCCGCCTCCCAGCCCGGCCGCCCGGCCGCGAGCGCCTTTAAAGAAACAGGAAGCATTTTTCAAAACAGCTGGGCCGCCGGCCGCCTCCTTTGTCCGCGTCCTCTCTGCCTCCCCCCGCCCCCACCCCTTCGGCCCGGAGCCGGCCTCCCCGGGCTCCCCCTGCCCGCCGCCTCCTCCACGTGGGAGCGCTGCGCGGTGGCAGAGGACGGGCAGCTCTCAGCAGGACTGCCCGAGCACGTGGTGTCGGGGCCGTCGGCCCTTCCCCAAATCAGAGCTGTGCCTTCTCCACCCTGTCCTTCAACTTTGACTTCTCCGGATGCAGCATCGAACTTATGCACCCAGCACCTCACGGCCCAGCCCTCCGCCCTAACTCTAACCCAGCAGGCTAGGGGGGTGAGGGGGGAACGGAACAGCAGCTTGTCCTGGAGTGTGTGAGGGCGAAAGGGGTAGTCCATGGGGGAGAGGGAAGGGCTCTGGAGTGTCCTGAGACCCGCACTCCCACTGCAGCTCGACCTCTGTCTGCCACTTACAGGGGCAAGAAGGCCAGGGGCAGACAGCTAAGGTGGTGGGGAAACTGAGGCTCTGAAAAGAATGTCCTTTCCCATAGTCACACAGCAAGTCACACAGGCCTTCCAAAGCCCAATTGGGTGCAAGCTTCGGATGTAACCAGACTCGGCGTCTGTGAGAACCTGCAGTTACCTCACCCCCAGTAATCCACCAAGCCGGGGTCTGCTCACCTACGAAATGTGGAGAGCATCAGTGCCTAAGTCACTGTCCCACTGCAAGGAACTTAAGTACCGGGCACCAAGGAGATAGTAGTCAAATGGTAGCTTTGGTTAATATTATTCATAAGAGGCAGACTAGCTCTGGGCTCGAAACCCAGCTCTGCTACTTACGAACTGAGTGACTCTGAGCCAGCGACGGACCCTCTCTGTGCCTCCAAGGCTACCTTCCTCCCCAGTGCTTGTGAGGCCTCAGTGAACGTGGAGGTGCCGGCTGTTCCTGGGCCAGACCGCTCACCCGGCCCTCAGGGTTTTACGCCATTCCCTGGCGATCCCGGAAAGAAGAGGTCAAGCTAGCAGGCTCTCCTCCCAGGCTGCCCTGCAGAGCAAGCACAGGCTTCACTGCCCTGGGACCCTTCTGTGGCGGCTCCTCCTCACCACAGTGCTGGTGGCTCACAGCAGTTTGCACAGAGAAGATGGACCCTTGACCTGGCCTTGGGCTCTGGCCTCTGCAGCCACTGGCATCTTCATCTTTGTGGTTTCAGCCCTGCACTCCCACCCCCAGGCCGGGGGCAGTTTTCCTGTGAAAATACAGGGCTCACACCCTGTCCAGAGTCCAGGGGAGAACCAGAGCATGCCTTAGGGGGACCCTTGCCCCCACTTTGCAAACTAGGATACCTACCAGCGCAGTGACAAAGCTCACTGCTCCCGCGGCCCAAGCCTGCCTGTGGCATATAGAATCCTGGGAGGCAGGACGGGGTCTGGGCAGAAGGTTCGGGGGCAGGAGCGTAGAGCTGGGACTGAGAACCTGAGAGGGGTCTTGGCTTTTCAACCATTGAGGCCCATGACCCTGGGGCAAGCATTTCATCCCACGGGGGTTCTGTCTTCTCATCTGTCCTTGAGAACGTTTCTGTCCAGCCAACCTCTCAGAGAAGTTGGGCAAATGAAAGGAGATCATGAATGTAAAAGGACTTGGACATTAGGCTTCCAATGTACACATCCCCATCCCCACAGGGACACACACGGAGGAGGCATGCACTTTTCTGATGATAGCGAATGCAAAACCTCATTTTTTCCACCGAGATGGGTTCCAGCACCATCATGCGTTAGCTCCTCGAGGCCCCTCTTTCCCTGGACACGCAGTGTCTTCCTGTTCTTTATGTCCTGAAGGACGGGGACCCTCATGCACGGCCTCTGCTCAGAGACCTCCCACACTCCCCTCTGCGGGGCACGCCGCTGCTCCTCACCGTTTGGTGACAGTTCCATTCCCGGCCCCCACGCCCTCTGTAAGCCTTGGCCGATTACTGGAGCCCCCTGTGGCCCCTGCTGGCCTCTGCACATGCTCACTCACAGGTACTGCTGCCACTTATCCTCCAGCGGGGCCCTGTCTGAGCTCCCGGGCTTGTAAGCTCCTGAGAGGCTTGCTGTTTGCTTCCTGTCTGCCCCCACGCTCGGTGCCCAGGATACCTTTGCTGAAAGACAACCAGCCCGCATGCCCTTTACGTTCTCCAGATCCCAAGCCTGCCCACTCCTCATGCATCCAGCCAGCCAGTCAGTGGCAGAGCTGGGAGGAATCCAAGCCTCCTCTCCACCTGCTAAGGTACTCTCTGAACCTCAGTTTCCCCCTCTGTAAAGTGGAGATGATAGCAGCTGTGCTGGGTGGAGGCAGAGTGGGATGCAGGTCTGGCTCCAGTCTCCAGGGCATGCTTCTCCCCTCTTACCTTTCCGCCTCTCCTGCTGGCCAGATGTTGGCATCAGGCAGCCCAGGAGGAGTCTGCTCTGCCATTTATAGGTTGTGTGGCCTTCAGCAAGCAGCCCCTTCCCCTCTCGGAGCCCCGGCTTGTCATCTGGGCATTATCCTCTTCGTCATTAGACGGAAAGGCATTTAGGGGAACGGGGCAATCTGTAATGGGCCCGAGTGATGTGAAGAGTCCGTGTTGCCACTCCCAGCCTGCCAGGTGGCAAACCTTCAAACCGGGTCCACCTGTCGCAGCCCCCTGGTCTGAGCTTCAAGCCTGGGGCTTCGGATTCTGCCTCCTTGAGAAGTGGGAAGAGAGCCCAGCCAGGCAGCGCCCCCTGGTGGCATGATACTGCCGGGCCTACACACAACACTGTGGTCTCCGGCAAGGAACTGCTTGTTGACTGTGGAGCCAGGTTCACGGCCCTCCCTGCAAGGACAGTAATATGGATTTCGTGAATTCATAGAGTTGCCAGGATGAAAAGGCTCTCATGGTTTCAGGTGGTCTCACTTTCTGCTTTGTCTGGGATAATGCAGACCCACCAAGAAAACGTAAATCCTACGTTAAAATCATCCCCCACTGAATCAACGGCTCGAGGCTAGCATGATGGTGCCACTGGGAGGTTCCACAGCCCCTGGATGGCTGGTCCAGGGAACAGTAAGAAAACTGAAGAGGGGAGGGGAGGCAGGGGCTTAGGGCTTAAGCCGCTGGGAGCAAATGCTGGAAAGCGAGGCGGTAATAGTGACTGCCACACTTCACCAAATCCTTAGGACAACCCAGGAGGCAAACCCATCCTGCAGGTAGGGGATGGCGCTCCTAGAGGAAATCCTTGCCAACAGAAGGGAAATAACGGAAGTGGCGTTTGCACCCTAGCCAAATAGCTCCAAAACCTAAGCTTTGAACCATGTGCTTCATTGCCATTAGCAGGAGGAGGGGGCATCACCGGGCCACATATAGGCCTGGCCTGTTGGCAGCCTGGCTGTCCCTGCGTGTGCTGCCAGCCTGGGTTAGTTCTCTGCTGCCCACCTCTGCACGGAAGCCGCGGTCTCCCTATGGATCCAGGTGCCCCTCCACTCCTTCCAGGAAAAGGTCAGATGGCAGAGGCACCACCTCTGGACATTCAAGAGTCTCAGCATATGGGTCCCAGATCTTGGCATCCAGGCTGGTGCCGTTCGGTGGGTGAGGGCAGGACAGCTCTGCAGGGTGGCATCGGTGATGGCTGCCTTCTTGGCCAGGTGAGATGAAGCTCCACATCCCTGAATCCGAGGTCTCTATTTCTGGTTTCAGATGTTTCCAAAGTGGGTTCGTCACCCGTGTGAGGCAGGGAGAATGAATAGAAAGTAGACTGGCAGAAGGAAGCTGAACCCATGTGATTGGCGCCCCCTGGAGGTGTACTCGCAGCAGCCCTGGACAGGACCACCCACCAGCCACGGGAGGGAGCAGAAAGTAGAATACCATCCGCCTGGTGGCCCCCAAGTGGGAGTACCCACCCTGCACCATTACCATCAGGATGTTGGATCCAGAGGCGGAGCTGAGACATCCAAGCTGAAGCTCCTATACTCCAATCTTCACTCTACCTTCCGCTATCCGTGTGGCCATGCCAAGTGCCAATTATGGAAAATGGAGAGTTTGGGGCTGGGACAGAGGCCGGATAAGGGGACAGAGGGCGGATGAGGGCACAAGGTGGATGAGGGCACAGGGCGGATGAGGGCGCTACAGAAAGGAGAGAGGGAGGCTTCAGCACTCCTTCTAGGAGGCCTGCGGGGTGCCCCTTCTCAGCAGTGCGTGTCTCTGCTGTGACCGGGCAGGCTCCCTGCAGAGCGCATGGCTGCGGGGAGGGCCCGGGGGGGAAGACGGTGCTCCGTCAGCAGCAGGAGGAGCCTGGCGTGATGGGCAGACAAGGTGCCAGGTTTCCACGCAGTTGGCCAGGTGTCCTGTTAAAACACAGGACATGTCACGTCATTCCTCTGCTCCAAACCTCCCAGGGACTTGCTACTTTTTCTCTGATGGGTCAGGACTGTGATCGGCAAACTGTGGCTCGAGAGCCACA